TTAATTACAATAATGTAATGATTATGGAAAAGCATTAAAAAAGAGAAAATCAATTTTCATTACATAAATTGTTGCATTTATGGAGGAGGTGATGGGAAATCTTCCAAAGGGTATACATGTTCCATTAACTTCTAAAAGAAGATTTCTCCTGGCTTTGCAGATTTGCTTAGATCCTTCTTTTTCTCTGTACAGGAAGTGAAGGTAAATGTCCCTGATGGGGTAAAGACAGCGAAAAAAAAATAACTGTCAGGGGTGCTAACCAGTCCCTACTCTATCCAAAATGGAATAAAAAAGGTTTTTGGTTTACATTAAATTAAAAGCTGAATTTCTGGCATGGCAATTTTTGCACAATTAGAACCGCTGCCCTGCTGCTTACTGCCCAAAGTGTTCAGTGATTGGGCGAGGTGGAGAAACGGGGTGGTGACTTCATAATCTTCCCTTCATCCAAACAGAGAAACACTTTGAATTCACTGAGGAAATGCAAAGTCACCCATGCCGAGTGTGTTCAGTAAGTAGCAGGGAAGCGATTCGGCACAGGGCCCAGAATCTAGCGGAGATCACTATAGTAGCGATGCCTATCACAGCGATTTCCAGCTTCCAAGGGGATCCCACAGGTATGACACATACACACTGACATTGGCCCAAACTGGACCAATGTAACCATGTAAAAATTGCCATACCTGGAGATCAGCTTTAACCACTTGACCTCCAGAGGATTTACCCCCCTTAATGACCACGCCTCTTTTTGCTACTCGGCGCTGCACTAATTCAACTGATAATTGCGCGGTCATGCAATGCTGCACCCAAACGAAATTTACGTCCTTTTTTTTCACACAAATAGAGCTTTCTTTCGATGGTATTTGATCACCTGTGCGCTTTTTATTTTTCACGCTATAAACAAAAAAGCCAAAAATTTTGAAGAAAAACAATATTTTTTACTTTCAGCTATAAAAAAAAATATATAGTAAACTCAAAGTGGGTTATAAATTTAGGGCAAAATGTATTCTGCTCCATGTTTTTGGTAAAAAAAAAATAATCCCAATAAGTGTATATTGATTGCTTTGTGTGAAGTTATAGCGTCTACAAACTATGGTATAGATACTGCAATTTACTCCTTTTTTTTGCTATACAGCGCTGCGCTAGTTTAACGGACAATTGCGCGGTCATGCAATACGGTACACAAATGAAATTTACATCCTTTTTTTCCCACAAATTGAGCTTTCTTTCGGTGGTATTTGATCGCCTGTGCGGTTTTTATTTTTTGCGCTATAAAAGAAAAGGCTGACAATTTTGAGGAAAAAAAACAATATTTTGGACTTTTTGCTATAAAACATGTCCAGTAAAAAAAAAAAATTGAAAAATCAAATTTAGTCATAAATTTCTGCCAAAATGCATTCTGCGACATGTCTTTGCTAAAAAAAAAAAAACCCCAATACGTGTAAAAATTAATTGGGTTACGTGAAAGTTATAGCGTTTACAAATGGCGGGAAAGATACTGGGATTTTTAGGTTTTTTTTATACTAATAATGGCGGCGATCAGCGACTTATGGCGCCGATCAGTGACTCATGGAGGCGATCAGTGACTTATGGCGGCGATCAGCAACTTATGGCGGGACTGCGGGCGGACATTCTGACATTGGGGGGTACTGACATCCCCAGTGACACCAATACAGTGATCAGTGAAAAAAAAAAAAAAAAAAAAAAAAAAAAAAAAAACACTGACACTGTACTAATAGCACTGGGGAGGAAGGGGTTACGTTTATTTTTCAGGGAAATGGTTAACTGTGTGAGGGGAGTGTTTAACTAGGGGGCGGGCGTGTGTGCTGCAGGGAACACCGCTGATCGGGAGAGAGAAACTTCTGTCCCGATCAGCGTGTCAGGAGCTGTCAGGGAACTGACAGAAAGCACAGCTACTGCAGCTGTGCTCTCTGTCAGCGATTGCCGCCGATTGCCGGGACAAAGCCGGTAACGACCGGCTAACCGTGACACCCGGCGACTGACATCCGCGGCTGTGATCTGGCGGGACAGGTAGGGCGGGCGGCGCGCCTCGCGTGCACCCCTACCTGTTTACAAACAACACACGTTTTAAAACGTGCTTTTGCCCAGCCGTGCCGCCCTGCCGCCGTATTTATACAGTGGCTGGGCGGCATGTGGTTAAAGGATAAGTTCACCTTTAAACAAAAAAATAACAAATGCACATTTTTTTTTTACAGGTAAACAAAAAAAAGTACATTTATTTTTTTGTTTCTGAAGTCTATAAACCAAAGCACCAGCAATCAGCATATCACTGGTGCCATGCAGCTCTCCTGCAGATCTGTCAGTATATCTGCTTGCCCATACGAGATGTATGTTTTTTTGTTTTGTTTTTTAATCAATGTGTATTTTTCTACAAAAAAAATTGCATTTGGAAAATATAATACATTTTTAAAAAACTATCCATTTTTGTTTTAGGCCAAGTGAATCCTGAATTTTCAGTTTCAGCAGCGGAATTTTAGTTTCGGTGCACCACTACGAAGAAGTACAAAACCAATACACAGAGGAGAGACAGGTAAAGTGTACTAAAAATCTAGCTTGCTGTCATGATGTACCCTGCAGAAGCCCTTTCAAGTGGAAGTACAGTCAGGATCTCTGTCCCCGTGGGGAGTTTTTCCTTCACTTCCTGTACCAGAGACATACCAGTAAGGCTCCATGTACACGGGACACTTCTGAACGATGTAAACTGACTGCTGGGAAAAAAAAAAAAAAATCTGTTTTGCCACGTTTAGAAGCATTTTTTTAACCTCTGGGCGCTGGTCGCACGCAAAATGTGCGGCCTCCCAGCATCTGGGCCTTGATGCCGAGCGGCCACACATTTGCGTGCAATTAAGAAAAAACATATGTGCTGAGAGCGCACCCAGCACTCATGTCCGGTACTCACGGAAAGGTCACGATCGCCTCTTTTGATAGGGACCTTTCCTGATCATATGACCGCTGTGACAGCGAATCACGGTGGTCACATGACCCAAAAACCCCGCCTCCCGGCTCCTGAAACCCTTAAAGGGCCGAGAGGCACTGGCAACAAGGGGTTAAAGAGATAACCTCAGATCTACCAAAATGCCCAGAATGCACTGAAAAACAGTAAAAAAGTAACTATTTCAGACATTTTGAGAGAAATAGAGAGAGCAGAAGCAGAGAAAGCAGTATTTGTTGAGATTAGCTGTCTTTTTTTTTTGTGGTGTTTTGGATGTGTTCCGGCTCATTTCTGTGCAGAAAATTATTGCAGCCGTGTCTAACATGTTTTCTTTCATGCGAAACCTCAACGTATGGTGTACCGGGAAAATGCTTTACATGCATTTTTCAAGATGAAAAAAGGCTCCGGACAGCATCTGGAAATGGAAGAGTTAAAAAAAAAATTGTGAACGCTTATAAACGTGGTTAGCCGCGTTTACAAGCGTTTGAAACGCTGATAAAATCTACTCCTGAACGCAAACGACTGTAAACTCAACTGCCTGTAAAGGACGATGTATACACGGACACATATAGGAAAACATTAGGGAGAGTTCAGGGGTTGCTGAAAAAAAAACGCAGAACAGCTCCTAAACGCGTTTCCCAGTGTTATATTAATTTTAGGTAAAAAAAATGCACTAGGGCTTATTTTCGGGTAGGTCTTATTTTTTATCGACTTTTATTTCTTTTTATTCACTTGGTGACACCCCCTCCGACAATCCCCTCAGGATCGATCGGATCTGCGGGTTGAGCATAATGGATCGGAGTCCGATCCATTATCCTCTCCAATCCGCAGATCTGATCCATGCTGAGGGGATGGTTGGCTTGCAACCTAACTGATCTCTCCACCAGCTGCACAAAAAGGTACGTTTTAAAGCAAGCTCCCCCCCCCCCCACCTTCTTTCTCCTCCCCCCCCCCCTCTCTCCCCCCTACCTACTACATGAAGCTGCAGTGCTGTCACCAGGGTCGGGGCATTACATACTTACCTGCTGCATACTCTGCCCGCCCCTCCAGCACCCGTGGCAGGGAGGTGGACCCGCCACCTCTGCTGAAACTCCGAGGAGGAGAGGTGTCCGAAGTGCCTGCCTCACCGTCTGTCCCCTCAATGCCTGCTTATTTCAGAAGTGGCACATACAGGGACGGACTGAGCCTCTCATAGGGCCCTGCAGTGACCCCGGGTCCTCAGGCAGTGCCCGATTGGTCAGTCCTTTCCTGGTGGAGGTAGGTCTTATTTTCGGGGGAGGGCTTATATGAGCGGTGCGTCAAAAAGTAGCGAAAGGTCTTACGTTCGGGGAAACACGGTAGACGTGCGTTTATCAGCCGCAGTGTACATGAGCCCTAAGCGAGGGGAAATTCCACCTTCACCAAGTAAGAAATCTGCCTCTATTCCCGTTCCAGGATCAGTCAGCTATACAAGTCTAATTCCCCTTATTGTCCCTGTCACCAGAACAGTGAAAGTCCCACATGAGGACACAGACAGCAATAATAAAAAATCTGTCAGCTTTTATTTAGAATTCTAAAAATGGCAACAATACGAATAAACAACAAAGAACGATATAATTTTCTGCTTGTGTAATGTCCTGCTGACGTAAATCCCCGATTACCTTTAAAGATCCTAATCCCGCTTGGATTATGCAACTTCGCTGTTCAATGTTGTCATTTACTCACAACGCGACCTTTTCATGGCGGCGTACGGCTCAGTGTGAGTGTGGGAGACGGAACAAAGCCTGCGCCACTAACTTCTTCTAGACTGCCTCCCCTCCGACAGCCATTGTACGGAAAATGGGAGAAACAAATGCAGCTTCACAGCTGGGCTGAAAGTTCAGTTTTGCAGGATGGCAGCGATAACGAGACAAGGAAGGAAGAAAGTAGAACTAAAGGCAAAACTTTTTTTTTAGTTTTGGATAGGAGTGGAGGGGGATTAGACCCCCTGTCAGGTTTTTATCATTGTCTGCGCCCCATTAGGGGCCTCTCTATTTGTCCTGTGTACTGTTATAAGTGAAATACCCTCTGTACTCCGCTCCTGTACATACTGCCCACTGTCATACCCTCCACTCCTGTACATACTGCCCACTGTCATACCCTTCCACTCCCCTCCTGTACATACTGCCCACTGTCATACCCTCCACTCCGCTCCTGTACATACTGCCCACTGTCATACCCTCCACTCCTGTACATACTGCCCACTGTCATACCCTCCGCTCCTGTACATACTGCCCACTGTCATACCTCCGCACTCCGCTCCTGTACATACTGCCCACTGTCATACCTCCTGTACATACTCCGCACTGTCATACATCCACTGCCCTGCCCACTGTCATACCCTCCACTCCGTTCTGTACATACTGCCCACTGTCATACCCTTCGCACTCCCTCCTGTACATACTGCCCACTGTCATACCCTTCACACTCCCCTCCTGTACATACTGCCCACTGTCATACCCTTCGCACATCCCCTCCTGTACATACTGCCCACTGTCATACCCCCCTCGCACTCCCCTCCTGTACATACTGCCCACTGTCATACCCTTCGCACTCCCCTCCTGTACATACTGCCCACTGTCATACCCTTCGCACTCCGTTCCTGTACATACTGCCCCACTGTCATACCTCCACATTCCTTTCCTGTACATACTGCCCACTGTCATACCCTCCGAACTCCGTTCCTGTACATACTGCCCACTGTCATACCCTTCCGCACTCCGTTCCTGTACATACTGCCCACTGTCATACCTCCACATTCCTTTCCTGTACATACTGCCCACTGTCATACCCTCCTCCTGTACACTCCATTCCTGTACATGCTACATACTGCCCACCCTGTCATACCTCCCCACATTCCTCCGTCCTGTACATACTGCTCACTGTCATATCTTCTGCCACTCCGCACTCCTGTACATACTGCCCACTGTCATACCCTCCACACTCCGCTCCTGTACATACTGCCCACTGTCATATCCTCCACACTCCGCTCCTGTACATACTGCCCACTGTCATACCTCCTGTACATACTGCCTTTCCTGTACATACTGCCCACTGTCATATCCTCCACACTCGGCTCCTGTACATACTGTTCCTGTACATACTGCCCACTGTCCACTGTTCATACCCTCTACATTCCGCTCCTGTACATACTGCCCACTGTCATACCCTCCGCACTCCGTTCCTGTACATACTGCCCACTGTCATACCCTCCGCACTCCGTTCCTGTACATACTGCCCACTGTCATACCCTCCGCACTCCGTTCCTGTACATACTGCCCACTGTCATACCCTCCGCACTCCGTTCCTGTACATACTGCCCACTGTCATACCCTCCGCACTCCGTTCCTGTACATACTGCCCACTGTCATACCCTCTGCACTTCGTTCCTGTACATACTGCCCACTGTCATACCCTCCGCACTCCGTTCCTGTACATACTGCCCACTGTCATACCCTCCGCACTCCGTTCCTGTACATACTGCCCACTGTCATACCCTCTACATTCCACTCCTGTGCATACTGCCCACTGTCATACCCTCCACACTCTGTTCCTGTGCATATTGCCCACTGTCATACCATCCGCACTCCTCTCCTGTGCATACTGCCCACTGTCATACCATCCGCGCTCCTCTCCTGTACATACTGCCCACTGTCATACCCTCCTCCTCCTATACATACTGTTCACTGTCCTGCCCTCTGTAAACACTGGTGTTAGCCTTTTGCCACCACTCAACAGCAGCCTAGGAGAAGGGGCAGTTCAGAATTGCCTGGACCTCCTGCCCCTTCACAAATCACATACTGTTATTAGGTGCAAAATGTACCTGCAAAAAAAAAAAAACAAAAAAAAAAAAAAAAAAAAAAACTTTGCTTACCTTACTCCCAGCTTTAGCAACGAAATGCAGAGCAGACAAAATCTCACAAGGCACTTCTTTCCATTGCAGGAGCATCTTCTAGCAAGATTTCAGCTGCTCCGTATTCCCCAGGATTTAGCCAAGATTAGAACGTCACCCTTGTCTAGGTGCCACAGGCAGAAGAAAGGGGGAGAGAACTTTAAATGCTAACACTTTTCTTTACAGGTACATTCTACACCTAATAGAAGGTGATTGTGATTGGTCAGGCCTGGCCAATGTAAGCAGACTGTAACGGAACCGACCCAGACTGTGCTGGAGTACTTCCGTTAGACTGCCGCTTCCCCGTCCGAACACCGACAACAGACACCAGAGCTGCCCTTACAAGACTAGACGACACCAATCTTGAAGTAAACCAGGAGGAAGACTAGTTTATTTGAACACATATATAAGATATATACACTCAGGGGACAGTCCCCCCTCCCTGCATAATGACACAGGGTGGGGAAATCTACATTTAGCAACAAAAGACACACAGGTATTCAAACTTCACACAAGCAGACAGTCCCATCAGGAGGGAGGGCTGCTGGAGACACCCCCCCCCCCCCTACTAAGCTAACAACAGACACCAGAGCTGCCCTTACAAGACTAGACGACACCAATCTTGAAGTAAACCAGGAGGAAGACTAGTTTATTTGAACACATATATAAGATATATACACTCAGGGGACAGTCCCCCCTCCCTGCATAATGACACAGGGCGGGGCTATCTAAATTTAGTAACAAGAGACACACAGGTATTCAAACTTCACACCAGCAGACAGTCCCATCAGGAGGGGAGGGCTGCTGGAGACACCCCCCCCCCCCCCACTAAGCTAATACACATAACATTAAAAAATCCACAACCCCCACCCATCTCCTAAACATGTCTACACAGTCTGAGACAAAGCCCACACAATATTAGGACAGATCACCCTGTACCCCTAACAGGCACAGAGTGACTTACACATAAGAGGGATATGGGGAGCTGAGACAGGGGTCTCCCCACCTCTCCAAAGTGAGCTGTGTTCCATGGGCCCCCCACCCAAAGTCTCTCCAGTCACACAGACCTTGTATTTTACCGCAAGATCCGACTCACAAAAAGAAGTCAGAGAGAAGCACAAATCCCCTGGCTGATAATGCAGTCCCCACATTTATGTCACATCTGTGTATGCAGCCATCTGCCTGGAGTTGAGCTTTAAAATGTGTCACCAACAAGAACAAAGAGAAGTTAGAAAATGATTTGTGATTTGCGGGGGGGGGGGGGGGGGGGGGGTGTACAAACAAACAAATGGAAGCAATTTAAAGGAGGAACGTGCTTCCATTAAAATTAGCCATTATTTGTTACATAACCTTCCACCAATGAGCAGAGCTGCCACTCATCGTACAAACAGACCGAAAGCAATTTGTTGCGCGCCTCACGGGGAGCGCAGCGGTTTTCATTTTTTTTGGATGGCAGTGAAATGGAATGTCGCAGATGTATAATTGAGTCATTTGGCACGTTTCCTCATTGCGGCAGATCGATTCCCTCAAACGCCGGGTGGGAGGAGCTGGCTGGCTCGCCAACATACTTTAATCCCCTCCAGCATTCTGAGGGTTTAATAGGCAAGGCAAAACCTTAATGAGTAAATTTCCTTGTTCTAAGCGGAGGATGACATTGGATTTTCTGCAGGATTCAAACCGCGAGGCTCCAGAGTGCGGTCGCCACTGCGCACAATTAAAGTATTCGTAGCTGCTGACTTAAAAAAAAAAAAAAAAAAAAAAAAACACAACCGAAGACTATTTAACCACTTCCCATCCGGCCGCTGTTTATAAACGGCACCCGCATTTTCAAGCTGTACGCGCTCCTCCGGACACAGTGGAACACCGATCGTCATACGGGACCTCTGTGCGAGGTCCCGATCATGTGATCACTGATTGGCCAATCAGTGATCACATGCAGAGTAGTAAGGAAGATGTCACTTGTGACATCATTGCTTACTACGTGTGAAATCTGTGAATGATCACAGAGGTCACATGGTACAGGGCCATTCACAACAGCCTTGTACCATGTGACAAGCTGTGACCAATCACAGCTCACACAGTATGTAGTAGGACGGGAGCAGTGCAGGGCAGTTGGCCGTTTATAAATGTCCTCCCGCTTCCCTGCCTGTGCGCACTCCCAGGGAATGCGCGGCACCACGATCCGGTGCCTGCTGTGTCCTCTGGATCGCTGCACGGGACCTCTGCATGAGGTCCCGATCATGTGATCACTGATTGACCAATCAGTGATCACATGCAGAGTAGTAAGGAAGATGTCACTTCTGACATTGCTTACTACGTGTGAAATCTGTGAATGATCACAGAGGTCACATGGTACAGGGCTATTCACAACAGCCAAAATTTGCAAAATTTTATAAGAAAAACCTTTTCAAAATTTTGAGATTTTCATTTACATAGCAAAAAAAAATAAAAATCCCAGCAGTGAATAAATACCACCAAAATAAAGCTTTGTCTGTCTCAAAACAATTGTACAACAGCACTGTACCATGTGACAAGCTGTGACCAATCACAGCTCACACATTATTAAGTAGGACTGGAGCAGTGCAGGGGCGGTTGGCCGTTTATAAATGTCCTCCCGCTTCCCTGCCTGTGCGCGCTCCAAGGGAACAAGGATCCGGTGCCTGCTGTGTCCTCTGGATCGCTGTACGGGACCTCTGTGTGAGGTCCCGATCAAGTGATCACTGATTGGCCAATCAGTGATCACATGAAGAGTAGTAAGCAAGATGTCACTTCTGATATCATTTCTTACTACATGTGAAATCTGTGAATGATCACAGAGGTCACATGGTACAGGGCCATTCACAACAGCCTTGTACCATGTGACAAGCTGTGACCAATCACAGCTCACACAGTATTTCTCAGTGGCTGCAGGAATGCAGCCAGAGAGGAGAAATTATTGCATTTACAGCCTTTATGGGTCTAAAAGCAATCAGTGAAGAAAAAAAAAAATCATCACCCCCCCCCCACAAGTAGTACAGTGTCACCATGGTGAAACTATACTGCTAGGGTGACCATATGTAAAAAAAAAAAAAAAAAAAAAAAAAAAAAAAAAAATGTGGAAAAAAAATATTCAAACAAAATTACAATTTTTGGTTATAAACTAATTTGTTTATACAAGAAAACTTATTCCTGCGCCAAGACTTTCCAAATAACACTCTAAAAATGCTGCTGTGCCAATCGTGAAAACACAAACAATATAAATATAAATAAACAGTGCAAATTTAGATAATTAATCAATATAATAAATCATATAAAATAGGTGCATAAATTATTCGTGTTTGCCCTTAATCTTAAACAAAAACACCCAAAAGTCCATGTGCTGAAAACATAATTAAATTGTAGAAATAAAAGTGCCAACTTCTTTTCTTCAGAAAATACTTCCACCTTCCACCCGTGCACAAACCAACATCGAATACACTCACCAGAACTTGGTGAGTAAAGGACCTTTAAGGAATTTTTAGGGATCCTAAACCCTCTTTGGTGCCACGCTAGGGAAAATCTTCACCCTCCGAATAGACTCCACCATCCAACCAAAAGAAAAAAACTCACATAGCATAATATTGTCACACAATAGTAACTTTTTCCAAATGGAGATTAAGGCCACTCACATGTTAAACACGTGCTAAAGGCATGTTTATTATGTATAAAAGGCTTCAGTTCCAGCAGATATACAACCTTTTCCTTCCAGGACTCTCACATCCACAGTGGAACAAAGACAGGACTCCTCTTAGACCAAACAGTGAACCAAGATGGCCGCTGGAACGCACCGCTCAGCGTGCGCTCCACTCACCGGAAATGACGTCAGGCGCATGAAGTGTGGACTGGAAATGCGTCAACGCGTTTCGCCCCTCCCATAGGGCGTTATCAATGTGGAAGGTGAAAGTATTTTCTGAAGAAAAGAAGTTGGCACTTTTATTTCTACAATTTAATTATGTTTTCAGCACATGGACTTTTGGGTGTTTTTGTTTAAGATTAAGGGCAAACACGAATAATTTATGCACCTATTTTATATGATTTATTATATTGATTAATTATCTAAATTTGCGCTGTTTATTTATATTTATAAACTAATTTGGGCTATTTTTTTTTTTACTAAAAAGATAACAAAATACATTTTGGCCAAGATTTATGATGAAATATGTATTTGCAAAATGTTATAATAAAAACACTATTTTTTCAAAATTTTTGGACTTTCATTTCTATAGCAAAAAAAAAAAAAAATAAAAAAATAAAAATCCCAGTGGTGAATAAATACTACCAAAATAAAGTTTTATCTGTTTAAAAAATTTTAGCTTTTTAGCTTTTTTAATTCAGATGGGTACAGTGTTGCATGACCGCGCAATTGTCAAAGTGTGATAGCACTGAAAGCTGAAAATTGGCCTGGAGAGAAAGGGGGTTAAAGTGTCCGGACATAAAATGGTTAAAAAAAAAAAAATGAAGTCTCTCTTTAAGAAGTATGTCATTTGCTCCCTTTTGTACTTTTTAATATTTATTTCAGGTACTTATATAGCGCTGTCAATTTACGCAGCGCTTTACATATATATTGTACATTCCCATCAGTCCCCGCCCCCGAGGAGCGTACAATCTAAGGTCCCTAATTCACATTCATACATACACATACTAGGGGACAATTTAGACAGGAGCCAATTCACCTCCCAGCATGTCTTTGGCGTGTGGGAGGAAACCGGAGTACCCGGAGGAAACCCACGCAGGCACAGGGAGAACATGCAAACTACAGACAGGTGGTACCGTGGTTGAGATTTGAACCAACGACCTTAGTACTGCCAGGCGGAAGTGCTAACCATTCAGCCGCTGTGCTGCCCACTGGAAGCTCTATATATACAGTTAATAAATCCAACATATACCGGTTGATCCTGCCAGCAATCCTACGAGCTGATAACTTTCTGAGCTCTATGCCTGCGCTGCCCCCATTATCAGTCTCAGCTATCTCTAAGGCCCTGTTCACATTTCACATAGTGGGAATGCGCGTTCCCGCTCACGATTCCGTTTGCGTAGGTTTTTTTAAACTACGTTTTCCAGTCAGTTTCCATCGTTCAGAAGCGTCTAGAGTACATGGAGCCATAAGCTTACCTGTAGGTAAATAAATATCTCCTAAATGTGCACCATTTCGGAAACATTTTCTCATTTCCAGAGCGTCTGAAAGAACTGCTAACCCGTGCCATTCCTTCAGAGCACTGTGCCGTGCCCCGGGACTCCCACACACACACACGAGCGGGAGTGACGTCATAGCGTCCCGGCTACGTTTTCCAGCAGTCAGTTTCCATCGTTCAGAAGTGTCCCGTGGCCTAAGGTCTGCTAATCTGCAGTATATTACATTTCTATTTTTTAGTTTTAGATATGCTTTAAAGCGGAACTTCACCGCTAACCGTTTGATGAAAAAGAACGCTCTTTAGCAAGGAAAAAACATTCCACATTAACAATTATGACAATTATGCCACTAATGTGAGTGTGTGCTTTAACTTGCCTCCAACATGCTGATCCTTCTTGCTGGAGGCAGCCATTTTGCTCAAGCCCAAAGCCCCTGAGCAGCAGTAAATCTTTAGGCTGTCAGCAGATTCCACATTTTAGTGTAGTGCTGAGAATAGAGAGCAACTGAGCATGTGCAGAGCAGGGTGCTGGATTTTAAAACGTATAGGTGCTTATTTTTATGGTTTCACATAGCTATACCGGCCAAAGGGGCCAGCCTGAAGTGATCTCCCAGGACTTCATTTTTTTGACGAATGTTCCACTTGAAGTCAGAGGAGATGATGTGTGGATTTAAAGTCATCACTAACTAATGAAATTGCAGGAATCCTTGTATGAGGATTATAATACGGCCCCCAACCGGGAGGTCAGTGTTCCAGGACACAGAGCACATTATGAAGCAGGCAATTATGCCGAAGCTAGGAATGAGATATCACACTTCTCTTCCCATGCACAACCACACTGAACCTTAGATACGGCACACGGGAGGTCTTTTTTTTTTTCGACTAAATATGTGGAAGCCGACACTAAAACACAGACATGATACGCAGCAGCTCCAACCAGTGGCTCAGACGCCACATGCGGCTCTCGGCTACCATACACGTCCCAGGACTTTAGTATCCCAAAATATCACTTTTTATTTCTTCGTTCTCGAGAGAAGAGGTCACCCCATTGATGTCCCTACATTCAAATACCTACATGGAGTCTGCTGGGACAGACACATGGGAGATGCCGTGACGACTAGTTGTTTCTGCAGCATTTGACCGATTTAGAATCTCAACTTTAGAATCCAATTTGTTAAAATAACCCACCTCTATATTAAAAATGCCAGAGAGGCGAACGTGTATTTCTGGAGTGGAGTTTATAAACGGATCTTCAGAAAACACATTTATGCGGCTGGTAGGCCCATGATCTGAGCTGTCATTGGGCATCTCAAATCCCATTCAGGATGTACAGGGCCAATGAGAGTGGCTCTGTGCCTTGTCAGCACTGTGAACCAATCAAAGCCATTGTACAGTATGTATAAACACTTCTAGTGTTTGCAAACATTCAGCCCATTCACAACCCAGGAAGCTGTTTGACCTGCCAAATAATTTGTAGACTGGTCTTTCCAGGCCTGAGATTTACACAGCACAGCCCCATTTAACAGAGCAGGAGATCTGATATTTCCCTGCTGTAGTTCAGTAACATTTACAGGTCTTGTCCCTCCCCTGTGACTGGACAGTGAAGGGAGAAACAGTAGACTGCTAAGCTCACCTGTCTGTCACTCTGCTCTCTCCTCCAATCAGGATGTTTCCTTGTTAGCACATGAGCACTGCAGCACACCTGGCTGGCACCTTGTGCTGTCTCCCTCTCCCTATTCATGGGAGCACTGATGGAGCGGGTGGACGTTTCTAAACGTCCCTGTAACGTACATGTGACATGATGTAACGTGCATGGGACATAAATGTACAGATTTGAGTAGATGTGATCAGTAGCAATATGTAATCGTAACTGTTGGGACATTCCATTGTCATTAAGGATGTACATTCAGTCCGTGTCATTGGGGAAATGAGGTACTCAGACAGTGGTCATCAATTAGTATCAATTAGGCTGAAAAGACCGGCTTCCGGGATGTGACACCTTTGCGTTAATAAGGTTGTCACCTTCTGGTGAAACCGGTTTGGAGGAAGTGGCCTCAGACAGGTTGTCTGCCTGACATTGGAAGCTCTAAAAGGGAGTATATCCATACATCAAAAGGGGAATGTTTCATCTCTCATAAAAGCTAAAATATTAGTTGCAGAGAGATGAACATACTCCCTTCTTGTAGGGCATTCTGTGCGCTACATCGGCACTAAAAATCAGATTTGTGGTTTAGGCAGAAGGCCAGGAAAATGCAGGAAATGGTTAGGTGGCGCTGGATTGCGGCAGTCGAATGATGTTTGGTACTGTCTCGATCGGGCCGATGCGCTGGTTTCGGAAATCCAATCCCCGACTTGGTGTTTCAAGCCGGTCTTAGTCTGATTGAACTTGGGCAGGTCAACACCCAGAACATCCTGTGGGCAGGTACAGGAGCAGCCCCCCCATGGTCAATTGGCCGAGGACCAATGTCCCGCCTACGTCCATATCCCCATAAAAGGAGTACCCGGACATTGGGACTTTTGTGATTCGTATGGAGCTGGTTCGATTTGACTGACGGATTGCTGACGCTCTGACTTGCTCCAGCCGCAGGATAGATCTTGATAAAAGTTTTATTCTGTTTTATTCCCTTTTTATTTTATAGTGAATAGTCATTTGTGTGTCTTCTTATATTTTCTGTATTTCTGTAACTTTTTATATTTTGTACATATTTTATGCACTGCCCACTTTCGGGAAATTAAATCTTAAAATTAATTAGTGACTTCTGTGTATTTAAGCTCGGGCTCATATCTTCGGAGAGATTAGATTGGATTGGATTAGATTGGATTGTATTTTTGTACCTTTAAACGCTCGGTCAAGCTCACTGCCAAAACTGTGTGTGGGCAGATTGCGTGCAGATTGTAAAAGGTAACAGATTGGCCAGATGGAGATCTGTGTGTGTGGGGTGTCCCAGCAGACCGTTCTGCGGATAAACTGTTGGGTGGTGGCAGGCTAACTTTTGTGGTGTGTCTGGTGCGGGAAGTGGGGGTGTGGACAGTGAAATGGTGATTAACACCGGGGTTCAAGCTGTAGGTAGCTGGAGGGACTCTAGATGGGTGTGTGATTACTAAGCTGGTCTTCGACTCTAATCAGTGCACCAGATTGTATGTAGGATTTTTATCTGCCAGTGTGTGGTCGACCAGCTGGATTGGAGAGGAGTCTCCATCTGGTGGTGGCCAAAAGGTAGTGCAGGCTGTGGAAGTATTTCACAGCTGATCTTATATACGGTTTTATATATTAAAAGTTAAGTCCCCTTTATTCTCTCGTACCCCCAAATCACGGCCGCATGTGCGAGCCTCGGTTAGCTAGTCGCTGTGGGCGTGGCGTGTAGGGGATCCGTGACAGTCCCCTTGCATCCATTGCCTGTGCACGCTCCCTGGGAGCGCCGGGCACCGAGATCGGTGCCCGCTGTGTCCAGAGGACACAGCAGAACACCGATCGCTGTACGGAACCTCTATGTGAGGTCCCGATTCATGTGATCACTGATTGCCCAATCAGTCTGCTCATCAGCAGCAATATGCACACTGATATTCCTGCACAGGAACTAGTATGCGCTCAAGAATGAAAAGATAACCATTGTGAAGATGGGTTGCCAGGGAGGTTACTTTAACCACTTCCCATCCAGCCGCTGTATATAAACGGCCGGACGGTGGCCGTGCAGGGGTGGGTTGCCGTTCATCAACAGCGCCCGCCACTTTGGATTGTGCACATTCCCTGGGAGCGCGCGGCTCCGCGAACGCTGTACGGGACCTCTGTGCGAGGTCCCGATCATGTGATCACTGATTGCCCAATTAGTGATCACATGAATAGTAGTCAACAAGATGACACTTCTGACATCATTGCTTACTACTTGTGAAATCTGTGAATGATCATTTACAACATTCGCAACAGCCTTGTACCATGTGACAAGCTGTGACCAATCACAGCTCGCACAGTATTCCTCAATGGCTGCAGGAATGCAGCCAGAGAGAAGGAGAAAATGATTGCTTTTCCTTTAGAGGTGTAAAAAAAGAAAAAAAAATCGTCACAACCAGTACAGTGTCACTAGGGTGACAGTATGTTAAAAAAAAATAAATAAATATTATATTAAAAAAAATTAGAAAAATTATCATTTTTGGTTATAACCTAAACTAATTTTGGGTTTTGTTTTTTTTTTTTAACTTTTAGTGAAAAAAAAAAAAACTAAAATTAGTTTATAACCAAAAATGATAATTTTTTCAAAATAGTTTTTTTTTTTAACATTTTTAAATTTTTTTTTATAATTTTTTTTTTATTTTACATACTGTCACCCTAACAGTACAGTTAGATAGATGAATACATTTTGGCTAAGATGAAGATTATTTATTTGCTAAATTTTATAAGAAAAAAATAAGGGGGGGGGGGGGGGGAAGCGCGTCGGACCGGAAGGGGGGGGGGAGGGGAAGCGTCCGGACCGGAAGGGGGGGGGGGAAGCGACCGGACCGGAAGGGGGGGGGACCAGCGCGTTCCGGACCGGAAGGGGGGGGGGGACAGCGTCCGGACCGGAAGGGGGGGGGACAGCGTCCGGTACCGGAAGGGGGGGGGACAGCGTCCGGACCGGAAGGGGGGGGGGGGGACAGCGTCCCGGACCGGAAGGGGGGGGGGGGGACAGCGTCCGGACCGGAAGGGGGGGGGGGACAGCGTCCGGACCGGAAGGGGGGGGGGGCAGTCCAAGCCGGAAGGGGGGGGACAGCGTCCGGACCGGAAGGGGGGGGGGGACAGCGTCCGGACCGGAAGGGGGGGGGGGGGTCCGGACAGGAACAGCGTCCGGACCGGGAAAGGGGGGGGGAAAGCGTCCGGACCGGCAAGGGGGGGGGGGGGGGGGGACAGCGTCCGGACCGGAAGGGGGGGGGGGGGGAAGCGTCCGGACCGGAAGGGGGGGGGGAAAGCGTCCGGACCGGAAGGGGGGGGGGGAAAGCGTCCGGACCGGAAGGGGGGGGGGGGGAAAGCGTCCGGACCGGAAGGGGCGGGGGGGGGGAAAAGCGTCCGGACCGGAAGGGGGGGGGGAAAGCGTCCGGGACCGGAAGGGGGGGGGGAAAGCGTCCGGACCGGAAGGGGGGGGGGAGAAGCGTCCGGACCGGAAGGGGGGGGGGGGGGAAGCGTCCGGACCGGAAGGGGGGGGGGGGGAAAGCGTCCGCCGGACCGGAAGGGGGGGGGGGGAAAGCGGACCGGAAGGGGGGGGGGGAAGGGGACCGGAAGGGGGGGGGGAAGAAAGCGTCCGGACCGGAAGGGGGGGGGGGGGGGGAAAAGCGTCCGGACCGGAAGGGGGGGGGGGGGAAAGCGTCCGGACCGGAGGGGGGGGGGGAAAGCGTCCGGACCGGAGAAGGGGGGGGGGAAAGCGTCCGGACCGGAAGGGGGGGGGGAAGCGTCCGGACCGGAAGGGGGGGGGAAAAGCGTCCGGACCGGAAGGGGGGGGGGGGGGGGTAAAGCGTCCGGACCGGAAGGGGGGGGGGGGAAAGCGTCCGGACCGGAAGGGGGGGGGGGGGGGGAGGAAAGCGTCCCGGACCGGAAGGAAGGGGGGGGGAAAGCGTCCGGACCGGAAGGGGGGGGGGGGAAAGCGTCCGGACCGGAAGGGGGGGGGGGGAAAGCGTCCGGACCGGAAGGGGGGGGGGGGAAAGCGTCCGGACCGGAAGGGGGGGGGGAAGCGTCCGGACCGGAAGGGGGGGGGGAAAGCGTCCGGACCGGAAGGGGGGGGGGAAAGCGTCCGGACCGGAAGGGGGGGGGGGAGGAAAGCGTCCGGACCGGAAGGGGGGGGGGGGGAAAGCGTCCGGACCGGAAGGGGGGGGGGGGAAAGCGTCCGGACCGGAAGGGGGGGGGGGGGAAAGCGTCCGGACCGGAAGGGGGGGGGGGAAAGCGTCCGGACCGGAAGGGGGGGGGGGAAAAAGCGTCCGGACCGGAAGGGGGGGGGGGGGGAAAGCGTCCGGACCGGAAGGGGGGGGGGGGAAAGCGTCCGGACCGGAAGGGGGGGGGAAAGCCGTCCGGACCGGAAGGGGGGGGGGAAGCGTCCGGACCGGGGGGGGGAAGGGGGGGGGAAGCGTCCGGACCGGAAGGGGGGGGGAAAGCATCCGGACCGGCAGGGGGGGAAAGTGTCCGGACTGGAAGGGGGGGAAAGTGTCCGGACTGGAAGGGGGGGAAAGTGTCCGGACTGGAAGGGGGGGAAAAGTGTCCGGACTGGAAGGGGGGGGAAAGTGTCCGGACTGGAAGAGGTTGTTCCAATTTGTCTATCAGAATACCTGGCAGTTGGGGGGGGGGGGGGGGACCAATCTAACACTCCTGCAGCCTTGGTGAGCTCCCTGCGTTGCAGCGCGCGGCCTGGATACGATTACATTGCTGACAGATTTGGTTTTTAGAAGGTTGCCAGGTAACAGTTTTCATTTCTCTCTTCACAAAATGAAACAATATAAAATCCAGTCAATAGAACACCAACAGAAACATTTACAAGACTTTCCGCAGACAAAGGATGAGGATGAATAGTAGAAATATCTGCCGGATGCGTTAAATAGATTTCAAAAGCGAAGAAAAAAGTTCTGTGTAATGAGCTGAACATTGGACGATCTATTCTCAGACCCGGCTATTCTTTTTTCCTATTAGCAGTCTGTGGATTCCGCTAGAATGGTCAAGGTGACCGTCATCGCATCTTATGAAAAGGCTCGTCCATACGCAAACCGCGAGAGCAATCTCCTGACAGCCTGCCTGGATGACACCGACAACGGCCAGAACTGTAAACACCACTGAACACCAGACACAAAAACATTCATTTAAATATATTCCCTAATAGCCACAAAGTATATAAAAAAGACTTTGTGTTCATCAAATGCCTTTGGAAACTCAGATATTACCTTGTAAAAGTAGCAGTGATATCACCACTGTGCTGTACATAGCAATGCAGAGCAGAGCGGTGAGAAGGGCCCAGCAGGCTCCACCCACTAAAGGCTGCCTGCAGAAAAACTACAGGAGGGGGCGGAGACAAGAACACAGTCACCTTGCACAAGCAGAGATAGAGCAGAGCTGTGGGAGGGGCCAAGCAGGTTCCACCCACTACAGGCTGCAGCTGAGACAAGAACAGTCACCTTGCACAAGGGGAGAGAGAGAGCAGAGCTGTGGGAAGGGCCCCAGCAGGCTCCACCCACTACAGGCTGCCTGCAGAAAAACTACAGGAGGGAGTGGAGAGACAAGAGCACAGTCACCTTGCGCAAGCAGACAGAGCAGAGCTGTGGGAAAAAAAAAAAAAAAAAAATCCAGCGGTGAATAAATACCACCAAAATAAAGTTTTATCAGTCTTAAAAAAATGCTAAAAAAACTTTCATATGGGGTACAGTGTTGCATGACCGCGCAATTGTCACTCAAAGTGTGATAGCACTGAAAATTGGCCTGGACTGGAAGGGGGGTGAAAAGCGTCCGGACTGGAAGGAGGGGGGGGGTGTGAAAAGCGTCCGGACTGGAAGGGGGGGGGGGTGAAAGCGTCCGGACTGGAAGGGGGGGGGGTGAATGAAAGCGTCCGGACTGGAAAAAAATGGGGGGGGGGGGGTGAAAGCGTCCGGACTGGAAGGGGGGGGGGGGGGTGAAAGCGTCCGGACTGGAAGGGGGGGGGGGGGACTGGAAGGGGGGGAAAGCGTCCGGACTGGAAGGGGGGGGGGTGAAAAGCGTCCGGACTGGAAGGGGGGGGGGGGGGGGGGTGAAGGTGAAAGCGTCCGGACTGGAAGGGGGGGGGGGTGAAAAGCGTCCGGACTGGAAGGGGGGGGGTGGTGAAAGCGTCCCGGACTGGAAGGGGGGGGGGGGTGAAAGCGCCCGGACTGGAAGGGGGGGGGGGGTGTGAAAGCGTCCGGACTGGAAGGGGGGGGGGGGGTGGAAAGCGTCCGGACTGGAAGGGGGGGGGGGTGGTGTGAAAGCGTCCGGACTGGAAGGGGGGGGGGTGTGAAAGCGTCCGGACTGGAAGGGGGGGGGGTGTGAAAGCGTCCGGACTGGAAGGGGGGGGGGGGGGGTGAAAGCGTCCGGACTGGAAGGGGGGGGGGGGTGTGGTGAAAGCGTCCGGACTGGAAGGGGGGGGTGGGGGAAGGGGGGGGGTTGAAAGCGTCCGGACTGGAAGGGGGGGGGGTGAAAGCGTCCGGACTGGAAGGGGGGGGGGGATGGTGAAAGCGTCCGGACTGGAAGGGGGGGGGGGTGAAAGCGTCCGGACTGGAAGGGGGGGGGGTGGTGAAAGCGTCCGGACTGGAAGGGGGGGGGGTGAAAGCGTCCGGACTGGAAGGGGGGGGGGGGTGAAAGCGCGTCCGGACTGGAAGGGGGGGGGGTGAAAGCGTCCGGACTGGAAGGGGGGGGGGTGAAAGCGTCCGGACTGGAAGGGGGGGGGGTGAAAAGCGTCCGACTGGAAGGGGGGGGGTGAAAGCGTCCGGACTGGAAATGGGGTGGGGTGAAAGTGATCGAAAGCGTCCGGACTGGAAGGGGGGGGGGTGAAAGCGTCCGGACTGGAAGGGGGGGGGAGGGTGAAAGCGTCCGGACTGGAAGGGGGGGGGGGTGAAAGCGTCCGGACTGGAAGGGGGGGGGGGGTGAAAGGTCCGGACTGGAAAAGCGGGGGGACTGAAAGCGTCCGGACTGGAAGGGGGGGGAAAGGGGGGGGGGGTGAAAGCGTCCGGGACTGGAAGGGGGGGGGGTGGAAGGGGGTGAAAGCGTCCGGACTGGAAGGGGGGGGGTGAAAGGTCCGGACTGGAAGGGGGGGGTGAAAGCGTCCGGACTGGAAGGGGGGGGGGTGAAAAGCGTCCGGACTGGAAGGGGGGGGGGGAAAGCGTCCAGACTGAAAGCGGGGGGGAAGGGGGGGACTGGAAGGGGGGTGTGAAAGCGTCCGGACTGGTAAGGGGGGGGGGGGGGGAAGGGGGGGGAAAGCGTCCGGACTGGAAGGGGGGGGGGGTGAAAGCTGTG